GTATCACCGGAGCCTTGCGGTTGGGAGCCAGGTACGTTTACATGTGTATCTTGTAAGGTTCGAGCCATTATAATCCGGCCATCTTTTGGATCCCAAAACACAATGCTTGCATCATCATGCGCTGTAGCAATGAATGTTCCAGTTGGATGCCATAGAGCTTGTGTAAGACGTGGTTGCCTCGGCGTACTCTTTCCCATAGGATCTCCATTACCGCCAGGTGCTCCAGCTGGAACTTCATATTGAAAGTATTTGATGGGTTTGTTTTGTTTGAAAGAGTATATCACAGCCCCTTCTGTGTATCCTATCAATAACTGACCAATATCTCTGGGATGTAGTAGTAAAGACACGCAACTTAATAACCTCGATCGTGGGTTCATTTCACGCCAGAAGTTGGGAAGACGCAATGGCGCAAGCTTCTCTCTATCCAAATCGTAGCAGATAATATCTCCAGTTTGTAGTCCGATCAAGCACCAATCCAGCATAGGATCCGTCACAATGGTTGTCACTACTCCTGGCGGAGAGTAAGCCGCCAACTTCTTTGCCGTTGCCAAATCCCATACTATCACTTCGTTTTTGGAATCCACACTGATAAGTCTATCGGCGCAAAATTGTAAAGTTTTGACTGATGCTCGGCGGGGTAACGTAAGCTTTACTTGAACCCTCTTCTGACCAAAGATATAAATTTGTCCGCTTCCGAATGTCGTTTCGTTCGTTCCCACTGCAAGTAGAGATTGTACCGGATCGAATGCAAGAGAACTAAAAGGGCGAAAAGTTAGTTGAATGCCTTCGATTCCGACGGCGACAGACCCGGACATACCCTATTTGAGAATTGATGCCGAAACGATCTAGATCATCCGGCGCAAATAGACCTGGCAATATACCAGCGGATAAATCATTTTGTATACCTGCTTGTTTTCCACGTAGAAATGCTGCCATTTTGATCTGACAGACGTGGAATTGTAATTGTTGTTGATTTGGTGTTTTGGTGTTGGTTATTACCTACGATGGTGAGTGACCAGGAGGATTAATGCTGTTGGAAGAACCCTGAAATTGCTTTATTTGCGTCATCTGAAGCAACGTACGTGGTATTTCTTGGCTATGAATAATGAAATAGATATTCAGGGGGTTTTGTTAAACATCATTAGACAAAGATCATCGTCACAACTCAAAATATGTATATCTTCACATTGATTGACATGTTATCATTACTCTAAATTGATTTCTTATCCGTCCACACAGACATTCAATAATGTGGGCGCATGCGCTATGAAGTAGTTTTTGACAGCAACAGTACCCTTACAAAAGTTGGTACCTGAGGTCCAAGCCACCAACGAACAACCACCAGGTGCATCTGCTTCACAGAACAAGTCAAGCATCCAAATATTAAAGTCCTTCAAAAATGTATATAAATTCTCCGCTCAATAATGATTGATTATAGAACTCCATGTCTCATATGGCAAATCTTGCTCATGTTGCTCATGTCCATTCTCATACCTCCCAAGCGCAAATCACTTTCAGTGTCGAGGTTGTCCTTGTTGCCATCCCCAAATCTCCCAATACTCATGCCAGGCACTTCGTATATTTGCATCCCTATTCTGCAATCTTAACAAACCTTCTTTCATTAAAGCAGGAAGTTCCATCTCCAGTTCTTCTCGCCGCACTCCTGCCTTGATCAATTCTTGCGTCAAGTCGATTTGTTTCTTGATTTGCGCGACAGGATTGATATAATACGGTGGTGGGAGGATTGCATCAGCGGCTCGTTTCTCTGCTGCTACTCGATCGCAGTCTTTGCAACGCGGTAATGTGCGGTCACAATCGAGGGAGGCTCTAATTCGAGGGAATTTGAGAGCAATATATGCAAATGCAGGAGGTAACACGAGGGGACGGTCGCAGGCTGGACATGCGGACATGTTGGATGTATAAACGAGTCTCGAAAGAAATGCAATCGACAATGACTATAGGTGAGTATGATTCGAGGATGATTGAAAGGTATAGCAAATGGTCATAATTGAAAGATTGATTTGAACCTTCTTGATTGTACAGTTATTATCCTTTTTACCTGATGTGAACAAAGAGAAAGTTGCAGATATGGGACTGGATTTGGCGACCAGAATTAAAAATTCTTTTCTTCGCGCTGCAAACATTCTTTGTCCATTTTGGTGTCTGAAAGCAAATAAATTGGCAACGACGACACGAGCATGAGCCCAACAACTTGATCCAATAGCGCGCACCATGCCGTTGAATCCAAGACAATGCCATTTGTAATCGGCTCTGAAAACAATAAAGAAAGTAACAATAATGGATGTAAATGTCCCGTTTTTTATATTTCTCCATGACCCAACGCATTCTCATGCCATAGGATGGAGGGTAAGTAAACGAAAAGATTCTCTTCTATCCTGCAATTTCCCCTCCAAGATCCCGCCATTGAAAGACAAAAGACCAGAGTGAATATTGAGGAATCAGTTTTAGTTTTATGAAGAGAAAAAAAAGAAGAGGAACTCGAACTTGAAGATTGGAGGTTATCTTGTATTCGAATTTTCATTATCACGTGATATAAGCGAGCATTGGCGCCAAACTAGCACTGATCTAAGCTTCTAAATCATCGGCCAGTCGGCTTTTGGCATGATTTTATTCATTCACTACCTCATTGGTCAAGGTCTCCCGTATTTTGAGCTAAAGACTCTTATTACTCGTAGTACGGCGGGGTTTGTTTTGTATGTGCCCCGCACTAAAATCGATATCTTCTGGATGGATTAAAAGCACAATCAGTCATCACCCATTTACCTGACATCACAAGATAAAAAAGTTGCCTTGACGTTAGCAATCGATAAAATCTTCAACGCCAATAAACCTCAAATCAAACAATCCACTTTCGGTTTTCTCGACATTATCTAAATACAAGATGGCTCCAGGAGGACCAGCCGGACGTGGCAGAGGTGGAAAATTCAAGAAGTTCACTCGTGGAGGTAAGAATATCATGAATACTAGTGCTACGTTGTGGAACATTCTGATTTGAACTTCTCAATAGGTGGTAAACACTTCTCTCGTGATCTTCGACCTCTCGACGCCAATGGAAACGAAATCCGCGAAAAGAATGCCGATGATTCATCCTCAGAAGAAGAAGAGGAATCGGAGGAGGAATCTTCTGAGGAAGAGGAAGAAGAAAAGCAAGAGATGACCCGTGAACAACGTCGCGCCGCTGCCAAAGCAAAGAAAGAAGCTGCTATCAAGAAGAAGAACCAAAAAGTTGCACAAGTTGGTGATCTTCCAACCGACAGCGAAGAAGAGAGTGAGGATGATGACATGCCCGTCAATCCCAATCATAGTAAGGCTGCTAGAGATCAAGCCAAGGCACCTCCAAAGTCTGTTGATGAAGTTGCCGATGACGTTGCAAAGATGAGCGTTGGCAAGAAACCTCAAGAGTTGAGTCGCAAGGAAAGAGAGGCAATCGAGGCACAAAAGAAGAGAGAAGCATACCAAAGATTACATCTTGCTGGAAAGACTGATGAAGCTCAAGCCGATCTCGCAAGATTGGCAAAGGTCAGAGAGGAGAGACGCTTGGCAGCAGAACGCAAGGCTGTATGTTCCACTGTACCCCCCCTTTTTTTGTTTTGAGATCATGCTAATTTTACGCAGGCCGAAGAGGAAGAGCGCAAGGAACAGGAGCAAGCAAAGTCAGAGCAATTGGCGAGGGAACAAAAAAGAAGAGAGGCTGCCATGGGACCTGCAGCTAGAGGAAAGAAGGGAAAGAAATGAGGAGCTTTCCGAGATGAGATCTAGTCTTTTACTTTTGTGGGTGAAGGCTTCTGGAATAAATATCCAGACATATACATAAGTCTCGGGGCGGCGTTGATATTTTTGCTTTTTCTGTATCGTTTGGCTAAAATCAATCTATACAACATTACATCTACCCTCTTTCTATGAGCCTATACCACCTTCGTCATTACCATCCTGTACTTGTGTGATCATCATGCTATGCTTGCAGACCTTCGCATACAAACTTATCATCAAATTCCTCATCAGTGCAATAAATCTATAATCTAAGTCGTTTTCGAATCATCAAATTATCCAAGTAGATAAGAAACCTTGGTACCTGCTAAGCTGTGTTGTCCCGAAACTCAAGGTTATGCCGTCATGTCACCATGTCACCATGCCCCTTTCCGCTTTCCCTTTTCCCCACACAACCTTCCTTCTCATCTTCACTCAACACAACAGAACACTTGATTTTCATGAACTCAAACAACAGCTTCCATTCCATCAATTGAGATAATATATAATCGAAGGCATGGCGCAGTGGTAGCGTATATGATTCCAGCTCTCAGAATCTAGATTCCAGATGGTCCTGGGTTCAAATCCCAGTGTCTTCCTTGTTTTAATTTTTGGGAGAATTTTGGTCTTTTCTTTTTGAATGAGAATGGGATTTGGAATCCTGCTTCTCGCCATTCATGTTATGAGGGTGATTGGATTGAAGGATTTGAAAAGGTTAGTTTGTTTGCTTGGTGGTTTGCTTCGAAAACAGGGTGTAAGGGTGAGGTGGGACAAGATTTATTTGCTTTTTACCTATCTGGTGGAAATGATGGACATAAAGTGAATTGATAAGAAAATCATTGACTCCCTCTCTTTTCTCATGTCAATACTACTAATAAAGTTCTGAAATAGGTCACTCCATATCAACGGCATCAGGAATCTGATTACCAGGACTGCAATTCACGACGATTCTCAGTATACACGAGTTCACATTTATAACAATCTTGCTTTCGCAAAATCATACTTCTTCGGAGATATAAATCAGACTTTTATGTCCATTCATTGGTAAATGGTAAACCGCATTTCCCTATTGATCAAACGGGGGTGTTCCTGCATGCTGTACCCATCCTCGAGTCCACCCGTCCTCCTCTTCTACCTCCAAAATATAGACCAGATTCTCTGCTTCACAATCCGTCACAGATCTGGATAGGAAACTCCATTCCCGTACTTTCGGCTCCAAAGTTGCTATTCTTCTACACAAACGCGCTCAAATCGCATGTTTCCGGTACCCATTCAACCTCACTTTCTGGCAAATGATAGATCTCAGAGTGTAACGAACTTTCGGTTTTAGCCTGTTGATGATTGCTTATATCTGGGTACAATTCAATCATCCTGTTCTGTTTGATTCTTGATCGGACATTTCTAACTCACCTACGCAATCGGAATGAGGTATGGTAGGATGCTTTTTCTTTGTATGCTCCTTCATCTTGTCAAGTCGACCAGTCTGATATGAACAGCCCATTGACGAGTAGATACATGGTGTCTTGGGGCAATGAAGAGATTTCTGATGGCGAACCAGATCTCCTCGACGTGCAAAGGTCGAAGAACAGTTGGAGAAAGAACAAAGAATACGGTTGCTGTGGTATGTACCGCGAGACTTAGAGCCCCTGGAGGCTTTTTCACAACTTGGATCTGGGGCGATCTTCAGGTGTCGATCTCGAGTAGTATTGTAGTCCGACTGGGGACTGAGAATCGTTTGTACGGCAAGGTTACGTTGCTGATACCCATACCCGAAGTCAATGAGACGCATGTCATTTCCGGTTTGAGATAATTCTAGGCAAGATCGTGTACCGATGAAGCTAAGATCGAAGAGTGGCGTGTTGTGGTTGATATCAAAAGACATGCTCGTACGAGATGAGTATACAATCGGGTCGACATTGGGGAGTGTCTCTTCAAGCGTGTTCTCATGCCATCTTTGTGGTGATGGATACAAGCAGTCATCTAAAATCATGCTGTTCTTGCCAGCTGAGCTTGTCATAAAACCTTGGAAGGAGGATGCAACAAGATCACTCATTGTGAAAATGTGAATGATTGAAAGGAGTCAATGGATTATGTTCAATGAATGCAGTACGCGACAAGACAATGAACATTTGAATGGACGTCTCCTCACCAGTGGCATGAGTGCTATTTATCTCACTTGGAGCGCCCACTTATATTCTGGTGGTCTTCAATCAATGGTCCTCACATCTTGCGACTTTCTGTACGGACTAGAAAATCGAGAGCCGCAGTTCTGGTGGTCCTATATAAATAGTATGCTCGTACCAGTTGAGATATACTGATGAAGAGATACTACAGGATATCTGATTGTCGGCCTTTATTTTTGAATACGTATTCAAAACACGTCGCACCGTGTTATATACTTACATGTCGGCTTACGCACCGGTGGTCCTTACTGATGTAAGGTTATTAGCCCAAGCCCGGCTGTAGTTACTCCGGCGGTCCTGTGTACCCGTTTCATCCCCCTTGTCGTCAGCAATATTGGGGCGTTGAGTTGACCAATCAACGTAAGATCTTACCTTTCGAGTAGACCCCATATAGTTAGTACTAACCAAGGTTACATCAACTGTTGAAGGACCACCATTGTATGCTCAAGGTATAGCGGCAAACTTCAGAGACTCCAGCCTTGACATGTTTCGATTTACTTTTTGACATTCCCTCGTGCGATTGAACTTTGTGCTTTCTCTCACTATCAATCCCAACTTTTCAGTCTCGGAAGAGATACAGAGAACCAAACTCTAGAGAGCGGTCGATTTGAATCTCCTCTCATTCTCATATTTGGTATACGGAATCCTGCATTGCCTTTGAAATTATTCTTAAAGAGGGAAACCCTTAAAACCCGCCCCCAACGAGCTTCAACAGTGGGGAACATTACCAATTTCCATTCTCCATCGGATTGATATCCTACCGGAAAGATAACCTTTTTCCTTGACTTCTCTAACTTATTCCAAGTCAATATCTTGCCTCGCGTTTAGGCCATTCAACATGGACTCTTCAGGTGACGTACAATTACCAGATAAGCACGCGAGCACAGCTACCCTTGTAGCGTTGTATTCCCAATCCTATGCTGACGAAATGAATAAAGACATGAATATTTCTGGTAATCTCGAGTTCTATAGAAAAATTATAGACTTTGAGAATGACAACGGCAAGCATGAATTGATACTCGGAAATCTCGATCGTTCACAGCAAAGGGCGGTTCAGTCAATTGCTCATAGTAGGAACTTGGACTATGAATATCAACAAGGTTGTGCAAGAGTCTTGCGTAATTGTACTACCGATTGGAACATTGAGGCTATGATCGAAAGCTCTCCTGCGGAGCTTACCCATTACAATGAATCAACTGACTCTGGAAGACTTCTGAATGAACCATCCCATTCCGAAATCGATTACTTTGGCTCCAATTTGGAGATAGAGCCATGGCCTCAATATTCAGTGTACCCATATCCACTAGAATTGCCAAGTGAACTGGCCCAGGACAATGTCGCGGCGGAAGGCTTACCGCTACCACAACTCAAAACTGGCTCACAATTAAATATGTCCGAAAATGGCATCTACGGTAACTCATCAGCTCTCAATGGAAACAAAATTGATTGCAATAAACATGTCGGTGAAGAAGTTACTCTGGCTGCAAATCTCGGTACACCCAGGATCTCTTCGGACAACGGTGGTTATGGCCCTATTCAACAACATGTTCAACGCCAAGCATACGTCTGCACAACTTGTCAAAAATCCCATTCTAGGGAGATTGATCTCAGACGCCACGAGATAATTCATGCAGAAGGCAAACACATGAAGTGCTCCAGTTGTGCAGAGTACTTTACTCGACGTGACCTCTTATTACAGCATCGGAGAGAGGCGCATGCAAAGACATTACTTAAATCGGCAGAATTTTCTAGGCCATCACTAGAAGTTCCTAAACCACCATCTCATGACTCGTCCACTTGGTTCGACAATTACAATATGGAAGCGTCATTGACCGAAGAACCATTTTTGACAAGTCCTTTATACACCACCCCGAACTGTTCGAGCTCGCGGAACTCTCGTTCCAACTCTTTTAACTCGTCTGCGTCATTATCGCCATTTCCACCGTCCGTATTCAACTCTTTAAATTCACCACTTGATAGATTTGAAATGCAAGGAGTACAAAGATTTGCGAGTGGAAGTAGGTCAGGATCTGTTTCCAGTCTTCGGAGCGAGCATGGACGTAACCGAATTACACAAACCTCCAGGAATTCAAGCATAAGCAGACACAGTTTTCTGAAGAGCCAGACGATGGATGTTGCACATGATTCACCGTCAAGATACGCCTCTTCTGGAGGATCTCGTCGTAAAAGACCTCTAACTTCTTGGGCACGCATCGGCATGAAAGCTATCAAAATGATCGGAGGAGCGTGTTGGAGATGCCGAATTCTGGGTAAAAAGGTTAGTGTATAGAATACTCGAGAAAGAATAATGCTAAAGCCGATTAGTGTACAGAAGAGAATCCTTGCGATACTTGCCCAAAACGAAGCAAAGCTGGCAAAACAGCTTGGACGCAAATTGGCTGTAAGCGAGGTACACTTTCAGAGGAGATGGAGTCTATCGATCTCTGTCCGAAATCATATTCCCAACCAATGCCTTCTGGTATCGATATTTTGTGTCTTCAATGCCAGCGTCATTGGTGTCAAAGCTCAAACTCGCACGAGAGCAGATGTCCAAAATGTCAAATAATTGATGCAAAGGAAATTGGACCTTTCACATCGGATCTCAAAAACGATCACGTGGAAGACGCCGTAAGAAGACGAAAAAAGGATATAGTCAGTTTCACCGAAGGGGAAGATACAATTACCGAGCTGAGTTTGGCCATTGATGCTCTTAGGCAAAATATGTCTTTAGAGAATTTTGGGCGACCTTCTCGCCCCCTATCGTTGGCTCGCACTTACTTTCCGAATCAAGCTTCAATGCCGTCACTTATTGCCCTTGATCAATGTACCATGGCAATAGTATGGGAAATTGTAGAAGATTCTTCACACCTTCAAAGTCTACCAACATTTCTCAACCCTCCAGAAAGGCCACTCGATGATCTAGTTATATTGTTGCGGTCTGCTTCGATTTATCAAGCAAAATTAGAACCAGTGAGTAAGCAATCCTATGATTTTAATCAAGATTTCATTGACTTGGCCAGGATCCACATCGATTGATCGCACAATCACTCATATGCCTTCGTGAAGCACTTGAACTCAAGCGTGTCAAGGCATTAGGCGCCTTGCACGAATTCTCCCACCGAGAATGTCGCACATTTGAAGAAGTAGATCTGACTGATCTTGTCATAGACAATATTCCCTTTGAAAAGTCAAGCGAGGATATGATAGAATTAATGCTCGATATGGGTTTGCCAGTGCCATGTGCATTCAATTATCAATTTGATAATGGCGTCTTCCGGGGCAGAGCGTTTGCTAACTTTGTCGATAACAGGCAGGCGAGCCAAGCTATTGATGCTCTACAAAACTTTGAACTTGATGGAAAAACTTTGCAAGTCGAATTCAAAAATCACATACCGCGACTAGGAGAAAGAGGAACCTCCTCAAATTTCTGTAAGGACAGGAATGTGGATAGCTTAATGTCCGCAATAAAGCGGTACATTGAGCAACTATCGAAGGTTTTCTTCAAAAAGGAGAATTTACGTGGCAAGACATGGTGGTTATCAGTCTTTTACAGTCTAGTCATTCAAAGTTTGGTTCGTGCGATCATGAAAGCTATCATTGGAGACGGTGGAGCCGAGATTCCTTCAAGTATAAACCAGTATCTTCACCTAGCAGTACGATTATTTATAGCAACTTCTGGAGCCCATGATCCACTGGCACGCAGCATACCCGTACTGCAGGGTGGTCGACCAAAAGCGTTGGCAGGTTGTGATTCGTGTAAAAGGCGCAAGGTTTGTTTCTTTATCTCCCAGTGATGAGTTCAGTCCACTAAGAACTTTGACAGTTAAAATGTACAAGGTGGAAACCGTCCTGCGAAGCGTGTCAGGTTTTCCAATGTCCATGTATATATAGTGGAAAATCGGAGATAGATGATTCCAAGATCGAGGACTACAACGTTGCCAGCCTATCAGTACAACAAGCAAAGTGGCAATCTTACGGATTGAAAGATACGGGGGAATACTTACAATATCTGTTCCAGGATGAAGGACAACCGATCACGCATGAAGCTACTATAAATGACGAACCTCAAACAACTCATTCGAAAAGATATTGGGGGGGCACTAAACCAACAAGCCAATTGAATCAGACGATGTTCCAATTCGATTCTTTGGAATAGTTTCACTTTCGGAGAAGACAATGAAGATATTGTTCGGAAGGTGCGGGAAGAACCGATGGTCGCATAAGCTACCACGGCAAGTCCAGCCCTTCCCTCTAGAAAGATTCCTATTGTTTGTCATATGATAACATCCAGTTTTAGGATCCGCATAATTCTCCGAAAGCTTCACCAGATGATTTCATTCCAAATGATCCAGTCCAGTAAGGTCATTGTTAGTTCTCCGATTTTTGGTGACCGTCCTCACATTCGTCCTCACATTCGTCCTCACATTCGTCCTCACATTCGTCCTGTTGAACCATTTAAACAAAAGGCTGCGCGAATATCAAAAAAATGTTCTTCGCAAGAAACAAGCCTTAAAGTAAATAATGACAGGAGCTTCACTTCAGCTAGGATGTTTGTGTGCGTACTCCATTGGTAAAGTGATTAAGAAAAGGAATTTACCTATGATTGATGTATGCCAGGATACAAGCTATTGGTATATTCCAATTTCTATTCATACGAATGGTCTTGGAAGTTGGAACTTTAATGATAAATGGGTTATTATGGGTTGAAATGTACGCAATTCAAGACTCGTTGTTCTCTGTCATGGGCCGTTTCCTTGAGAAACAAATGCCATGTCGAGGCCTGCCGCCTGCGCCAGAATGAATTTTTTCCGCAGGGTGCACCGCCGCAGAGTACCCACCAAGTCAACATCTATGAGGAGAAGTGTTTGTGTATTCCAACGATGATTTAAAGATCGAAAAATGGTATACCGGTATTTAACTCATTGCCAAGCGAATCGTCGGTTCAAAAATGGAAAAGGGGAGACTGAACGGCTTGACAAACCAAACGAACCGGTCTAGCCGAAGTAAATCCGAAATGCATCATTTTCGGGCGACCACGTGCACAAGTCCCAACAAATCTTGGCGGAAATTCTGCGTTGTCATACCGAGTACTTTGATCTTCATAACCCTTGTTGTATCGATAAGAAATTCACCGCCACTTTTGCAGTCAGAAACTGCGATTACTCAACGGGCTTAAAATTTATATCTATGGAGAGATGCATACGAAGAATGCCAGCTCACAATCCCGATCCAATGATGTTCGTGGATTGATAGAGGCGGCCATGAAATATGGCATCTAAAGGCAAAAGCCTCGCGGCTCAACTGGGGCGCAGATGAGTATCCAACGATGGTGAGTGGCAAGGGCTGGGTCTTCATTTTTATCGGTCCAGCCATTTCTCTTCCTCTTTTTACATTCTTTTACACAATCGCATCCAACGGCCTTTCCAAGAAATGTCGAGTATGAGTACCGAGGAATTATTGAAGAAACTCGACGATCAACATCAAGCTTACCTCGAGACATTCAAACTTGTTCACGATGCCTTAAATAACAGCATTACGAATCCAAATCCTGTTAGTGCGGCACCACAAAGTCCTGGTTCCATCCGAACATTTACGAAACGACGACGAAGATCGACCAAAGATGATGGTGACATTCCCGAAGTACGACCATCAACACTTCACAGCTCTGTTTTATCGGGAGACAGTGACGACAGTGATGATGATGACGATTTATATGTTCAAACACCGCTCGCACCTTTCAAATATGACGAAGAACAATTACGACAGCATTTCAGAACTTATAATTTCACAGATGCTGGTCATATAATTCTGGAAAGTGTGATTACGAAAAATGGACGACTTCTAGATCCCGTTTTGTTTCCAGATTATCATAGAGCTGATCGATCTCATAATTCCCATTATTCTGTGTTTGATGTTGGAAAAGATGGTGCTCCTTTATCTAGAAGAGATGTAGTGAAACCGGGTACAACTAAAATTGATTCTGCTATATGGCAAGCGGTTAAAGTGAGCGAATGCATCTACCATGAAAAGATCGTGTGTCTAAGATTATGAGTGTAGGACTTAAATAGCGATCCCGAATCGCTCCGGCCGGCTGTTGGTAGGATAACGTGAGTCTTGGTATCACTCCCAGACTGATTATTCCTTGAGCTAACTTACGTGCACAAAAGAATTGTTCGAGAACCATCTCCTGTCGTACTTGGGGCCTTACATCTCACTTTGAACAAGACTTTTGACATGGATGAATTATTCAATTATTTAGTCTCCGACGAAGTTACATCTGTACGTGTTCTGAATTACCAGGTTTTTTCTCTTGCTTACATGATATGACAGGCCAATATAATGCGAAGACCTTTCTCCGCTGATAGCCGACAACAAAAGTCCTTTGTTTTTAACTTTGAGTACTGGACAATCGTGGGGGAAGAATGTCAACCAATGCCTTGGCAACTGTCTGATACGACCCCAAGTACTTCAAAGGATCATATCCCTATATCGAGATGTAACTCTGTTGTAGCTCTCTCCTTATCTGGTGATCCCATACGAAAGTTGAGAAATCCTGCCAGACGTGCTAGTACCGACCATGGATATGTTTATGACCCATGGGCAGCATGGCATGTTCTCAATGTTCAATGCTACCCGGACCACCGTCATACTATGGATGTCCATGATTCAACCAAGCATTATGTAAACGGACCGGAAGCATTTCTACATACACTGCTCTCGGAATTTAGAGATGCAGAAAAAAGATTCGAGGCGATATACATGAAGATCAGTAAACTCGTGTCACCACCAGTAAGTTAATTCTCGATATCAAAATTCATTTCGTACTCATCCACTTCACAGGCAAACTTTATGTTTGATGGAGAAATTAGAGATAAATTACTTTTCGAAGATGAGGAATTTACCTATTCCCGTCGCTACTTCTGGGCCTATCAAACACTCGGTCTATTGAAGAATGGACTTAAAGCCATGATGGATAGTTACGAAGATACCTTTACCGATGATGTTTGGGAGGGAAAACATAAGACTCTATGGCCAATGTTGGATCCAGATTCTCATCGGAATAAATACTGGCAAAAACGCATGCAAAAACTAAAAATAGATTTCGAAAAGCAGATGGCTCATCTATTCAAACTTTATGAGGAAACTGACGAAAAGATGAAAGAGATTAGAACTTTGAGGGATCAACTTTTCTCGGGCACGAGTGTTTTGGAAAGTAGAAAGAGTGTGGAGATGGCCGCGGTGACTATACTACAGGGTCACAATATCAAACTATTGACTATGGTTTCGATATTCTTCCTTCCCCTCACCTTTGTAACCTCGGTATATGGTATGACGAATATGTCCACTGATCATGATTTCACTCCTTTCGCTATAACGATGGCGACTGTATGTGTTCCTTTCTTCTTTTTGGTCGGAGCATTAAACACTACCAGTGGTATGCAATTTTGGAGAGTAAGGTGGTATAGATTCTTGGGATGGTTTGGACAACAAGGTATTCACTCATCCTCGCCATCATCATCTTCGGCGGCCACCAAGACTTCATCATTGATGGGAGGTATGTACCAAATTATTTAATAACAAAAATGAAGAGAGAAAAGCTAACATCTTCAAAGACCCCTCACAATCGTATCCAAGTACAAGTTCAAGCTCCATAAATATTAACAACGATAAACCTAAACCTCTTCCACACTCATATTCAATAAATACCGCTCAATCTCTTGCAGCTCGGAAAGAGCTTACCTCGAATACTAGTCACAAATCTCCAATAAAGTCACCCTTTTCGCCATCAACCACGCCGTCTATGAATCCGATTCCAGAGCATCCATTGACAATGCCAATGACGTCTTACACGCCTACACCAAGACCGAAATATACTTCGATATCTTCAATCGATACCATCACAGCAACAACTGGTCCGAGACCTAGCTTGACAAGAAGTGCGAGTTGGTGGGATATGGCTCTGAAAAAGGGGAAAAGGACTGTCAGTTCTAGAGGGGAGGGGTTTGGCGGAGTGTGAATTGAAGCGGACTTTTGAGTAGCGGAATAAAATTCGGTCTGCCTTTGGTCTGCATTGATCTAGGTAGCAGTTTTCTATCGTTTCCCTCGAAGTGAAAAACCTTCCAACCTTACTTAAAGTTGGTCCGCCTGATGTTGAAGATTCGGGCTACTCGGCTGAGGATGTTTCTGGGGTTCCTTATGTCAAGCCGATCCTATCCAAGAGTCGGTTTTTGATGTCCTCCCTGATGCTATGACATCTCAGTTTATTTTTGAGGGAGCAATATTGGAAGTTCATTCAGCTCCAGCATCCACATGAACCAGGTTGTCTATTCTCCTCATATGTATTGCGATCCAGATAGGAATCCATAGGAATCCGATAGTGATTTCTGATATTGGACTCAAACGGCAAGCACAACTCGGGGGGCACTCATTGTTTTATTTGAGGATTCAAGGCAGTAGTGTAGTGTTAAAATGATGAACAAAGGCAAAGGAAAAAACTTATTGGCTGGACAAATTGAGGAAATTGCCACAGTGAACTCTGGGGAGGGAGCCAAAGTGGGGTAACAAAGTTTTATCATTGGAACCCAAGTCTCACTGGTACATCAATTTCTTCTGTCTGCTCTTTATTTATTCACGAGTTTATTCACGAGTTTATTTACGAAGCATAACGTTCACCATTAAACAACATCATTATTTGGTAAGGAATTTACAAAATCATACATCACCAGCAATCAATTTTGACTAAGTATATGTTAAAAGTCTTGCATTGCTGAAAGTACAGAGTTTGCTATGATCCAATTTTCCGTGTCATATCTTCGTCTACCATTCCATGTACTATCTTCCATTGACCATAATTCTTTTCTGACGCCCACGCCCATGACCACTGGCAAGATGCTAGTAATCAATGATGCGTCTAAATGCGAAAACCTAACCAGCTAGTGTCGGAGTTACTTTTTCGTCATGAACGGGTTCCTCAACAGGAGCTTGATTTTTAACTTTACCACCCGCGGTACCAACAAATACTGGCAGAGCTGGAATAGATCCTGGTTGATGCCAAATACTCATCATGTATTTGCATTTCTTACAGGGGCGAATGGCCGAGACAGATCCATATTGAGAGATGTGGCATGATAGGCAGTACCAAGTGTTAGTTACCCCCATTGATGCTTGTTGTTATGAAACTTTGTGATTTATCGAGATGCGATGTCGCTTTGCAGGAATTGGTATTTTTCGGCGTTATTGTGATGTAGTGTGATGTTCGAGGTCGTGTTTATGCTGTAGATGCTCTTCTGTCGAGGTTTGGAATAAAGTTGGGAAGATCTTGGGGTACCTCTTAAATAGCTGGGTAGTGATGCGTTTGGATTGCCTGGGAATTTTCAGCAAGTGTTAATGGAAACATGCACCGTTTTGGCGCATATAACAGAGCTTTTCTGGGGCATTCAGATTTGGTTATTGTGCATGAACTACCTTGAAGGACGTAAAATGATTTTAAATGTCTATTCACAAACAATTACAAGAAATTCATGATTATCTACGCAGCCTTAACAATCAATTTGAATCCTCACCAAGGTGCGCCAAGTCGGAATGTGATAAACCAAAGTCGAATTACTGTATTCAATTTTTGCACAACGGTCATTTGCCATATAATGGAAGGTTTCGACATGGAGCACACACACTCTGAATCACTGAAGCTCCTCCACCAAGATAAATTGACTAGTCCTTGAAGATTGTTAATAAAAATGCATCTACTAGACATGGCTCGCGGATACTTAAGGGAAAGAATGTCCCAGAATAGAATTGACTTTCTAATCGAAGAATTCCTTTACCACAAAATATTTCCAGACGTACATTTCCTATCTCAGAGGTCATCACATCCTCATTCCGGAACATAATCGCCACTACACTAAAAGCAAATCATACATCAACTGAGATTCTAAAAGATGACTAGTCCAGTCGAAGAAGTCGAAACACCCGTTCAAGAAGATACGATCAATTTTCATTGTCTAGTTTGCGGACTGGATAATGAAAATTGCCGGAATATACCAATGAAGCAGTGCAAGAGTTGTCGCACCCGGTGGGAGATGAATAGTAAGGGAGATTGGAAATGTAAGAGACGTAGCTTGTTCACACGATGGTATCGTGAGAAGAGTGAATGCGGGTTCTTTGAATACTGAAATGACATGGAGATGAAATTAGATGAGGGTCAAAGTCGTGGAATCGAGAAGGCTCCATCTCGATCGAGGGTGATTGCGTGGTTTCAAAGGGGATTCTATAAAATTTTCGAGTTAGATTTTGAGTCATAAAGTAAACTCGAAGAATAGGCCCTCATATCTGTCCCGGAGACAATCTGGATCCGATAATTACCAAATTTAGAAAGCCATGATTCAAACTTGCACATGTGACAAGATTTTACAGCGAGATTGATTGAGATTAGTCACTGTTCCCTGCGCCGTTCAGAAATTCAGTATCCTTTTGTACAGCCTCTGTGCCATACCATTCACCACTTGCACGGTACCTCTGCAGACCTCGGAGTCATATAATTGCTTTGATTCATAGCCTTTTACCGTCAATGAATAATCTCGATATTAAAATTCAAGAAAGGACTCACAAAATCAACCACTATTCACATATAAGTAGGAGTACTCTTCTAATCTTCAACATAGATTGATCATGTCAAATACTTCCAGAAAACATCTATTCTAAACACTTCCTCAGCAATAACAACAAATTCAAAGAAATCCACCTCAAGTCTTTGATTCTATTCTATCTACCACAAGCCACCTCGATTCAACACATACACATCACTACACTCCCAAATAAAGCGTACACTTTCAAATCAAGATGCCTCTCTTCAAATCCGAATCCGAACCCGTACCACAAACTCCTGTGATCATCACTTGGCAATGTTCATGCGGAAGTTTTAATAGAGCATACGAAGGTACCGCTACTAGAAAGTGCAAGAAGAGAGATTGCGGGAAGTACTGGGTATACAACGATGGAAAGTGGGAAGATGATTATCATGGAGGAAAGAGATCTTATTATGAGCCATGGCAAACAGACCCCAATGTTGATTGAAGACTGAAGATAATTTACAATAGATGACAACCTGTTTCTGTGGTGGCTATTATTGAGCTTTGTATGGGATGCTAGGTTGTGCATCAGCTCAAGGGTTATTTTGGGAATGACTTTGTTTAACAAAGTCCATATTCTTTGCAGGATCAAAGAATTTTAATGGGAGGAAAGTTGGTCTGTCTAGCTTCACATTGTATTATTGATAAATAAAATGGTTGATACACTATTGCGCTTGACTTGCAATTACAGTGACGAAGATAAGATCCAATCAAATTGTAATGACGTAATGTCCTTTGAAATTTCGGTTGTTTCGCTTTGCTTCAAATATTCAGTCCTTGATCTCTTAATCAAATTGATAGACAAATTGTATACCTCAATTGAAGAAATTACGCAAATTCAATTGAGTTTCTGAACGAACATTTAAAATTGTTTGAGATTACTCATAACAAAATGACAGCACTCGAATCTCCCTTTCTATCAGATAGTCTGATGTATCCTTTCCCTTTAAAATCGTAGGAGTATATTATTAATGACTTTATTATTAAAGGATATCCAAGACATAGAGTGTTTTTTTACTTTTTAATTGATTGAGTTGTATATTGACTTGCGGTAACGCCACCCTTATGATCGCCAAGTATAAGATCGATATTACAAAAAGCGGCCTCCACTTCAAGCCCTAGGTAGGTTAAGATTTGATACATGTGTCTGCTCCCCGCCGCCGCCTCCTTTCCTTCCTGGTCTAAATTGATCTGTGGTATTAATAGACAAACTATTCAATATCCCGAAACTGGAATCTGTAAATTTTATTTATGAACCACAACCTGTCTCATCGATTATATTCATAAAAAAAAACTTCAAAATAGAATAATAAACCAGATTAAATGTCAACACATATATATTATTGATAGTTTATTGTTATAAAGTCTTGCTAGTTATATATACGTAGCGCTATGGAATATATATGATATAAGTTTTCCGAGCAAGATAGATTTTAAATGCTATGAATGTAAAGGGTGCCCGAGGGAATGAACTAAATACAACTGAGTTAGAATATCCCGCTGTCAGCTTAAGATTACAAGAACTGACTTGAGATATTGAATACTGTAATTCAGTTCATCAGGAATAATTAACAAGAATCATTATTCCTCATGTATTGGCTTATTTGTTATTCGTCTTCGTTGGAGACTCAAACGATTGTGTGAATGCATCGATTTTGTGCTATATGTTCGATTCTGCCATAGTAACAACAACTGCAGAATCGCTACTTCTTAGACTGTGGGTTCGATGTAATGAATAAGAATGTTCCGTGTTGTATATATATGCCCGCTGCCGTTGATCACTGAGAATGTGTTCATTTCTGTGAGGATTCATAATAAGTCCACTAAATCACTTACTAATATCTTATCAAATAAGGGATATATTGATAACTAATATACATATAATATGATCTTATATTATAAAATCATATTATTATATAGTTATATAATAGTATCTCTTATCAAATTGATTTATAATGGAATAGAATAAAATGAAACTAGATGGAAGTATATAGGAAATCTTGCTAAATTGATTGGTTGTACTTTCTTTTTATTATCTAAAGTGATTCTATAAGATATGATTTAAATCGATCTTATTTATAAGTATGGAATATACTGAAATTTCATTATAAACTATATAAACCTAGAATATTCTTTAAAGAAATTCTAGGAAAAAGCAAGCAATTTATCTCAATTTAATCTAGCTATTCTAAATTAACTTCAATTCAACTCTTATTTTATATATTCAATTTATTCCTTAAGCTTAAACCGACTAGATTTTCCATTATCTTTATAATAATACTATTCTTTTTTATTATAAAAACTAACCTTCAAGAGGTTATAAACCTGGCTAGTTTAAATTAGTTTAAAAAAGAAATTAGTTTGATTTAAGGCTGTATATTATATATATACTACTATTGAATTGTCGAATATCGAATTTTTCGAATTAATTCAATCGAATTTATATCGAAAATTATTGTATATAGATTCTGAAGCTTGTATTCTTGAAGCTAAATTTAATTGAGTGTATAAAATTAGGTTCCTAGATAATATATTTATACTATATTGTTATTCATAATAAATAATATATCAATCTTTTTTATATTAAAATGTTTTAATTTATTTAGTCTTTATTTTATATTAATTAAGATAAAAATCTAATTTAAGAGGTGGTTGATTTATTTAATCCTCAAGACTAAAATCGATTTTAAATCGATTTATTTATCTAATCTATTCAAATCCGAAATTAGTTATATATTTAGATTAATATTTAATTAGTGTATAAAACCAATTAGTTTATAAAGAACTTAAAATAGCTCCTGGTATTAATTTTAAATCTAATCCTCTAAAAGACAGATCTAATTATATTGAATAAATTAATCGAGCTAAGCTTTTTCTTGAAATAAATGGTTACATGTCATATATCGATAATATAGAGATTCTATTTAATAAAAGTTTATATATAGATAAATCAGGAGAATCTATTTTATCTGAATTAGCTATAAAATACAATAAAAGGTTTTTAGAATATTAGAAAAATAAAAAAAAGGTATTAAAAGCTATTAAATTCATAATTAGCTTCAAATTAATTGAAAAATTTAAGATTAAAATTTTGGCTAAAAGTCTATAAGATTCTATTAATAAGATGTTTGGAAAATCTTTTATTGAATTAATAGAAAGATATTTAAATAGATTAATAGAATCTAATTATATTAGCTCAAAAGGAATGAATAAATATACTAATTCGATTTAATCATTATATAATTACCTAAAATCAATGAATTTTGATATTTCGGATATCTTTATAGTATAGTTTCTTTTTAGAGGTTTACCTAACTTTTTCAATGATTTTGTTTTTTGAAAATATAAAGAACTAATTAAAAATATAGCTAGTATTAATCTAGATAAGCTTTTTTCCGAGCTAATATCCAAAAAGGTTAGAATGTAATCTAATATTGATTTAAATACTAATAAAACAAGTTTTAATAAAACTTTCTATTACAAGCATTATTTTAAAAAGGGGTATTTAGAGTCAAAATGTTTTATAAAATGTTCTAAATTAAAAACTAATAAAAGAAATAATAAGAAACAATTTAAGTCGAATCTGTATAAAAATTCAAATAAAGATTCAAAGAAAGATTCGAATAAACCCATTTCTAGTAAGCAATTAATAGCTATAGACTATTATATAGGCTTAACTAATCAATCTCTTAAATTTAAATATAAATTTATATTAGATTTAGATGATATAGAGTATTATTCATTTAATAGGGAATGATTTATAAATTATAAGTTATTAAACAATTATTTTATTATTATAATTAATAGGGAAAAGCTTTATATTAATAATATAGGAGATATTTTTATTCTAATTAATAATATATTAGAGGTATTGTTGCAGAGGGTATATTATATTTCCAATATAGCCTTTAATTTTATCAATTCAAATAAAATAGCCTAAAAAGGGTAGTCTAGTTATATTATTTTCCTGGAAAATAAAATCGATATTATTTATAAAGAGGTTAATATATAAACTACAGCTTCCTAATTAATTAATATATATTATCTTAATTTTAAAATGGATTTTAAATATCTTAAAAGTATTAATACCCCTAAAATTGAAAAGAAATCAATTCAAGAATCGGATTTATTATTAAATAAAATCGATCTCAATCTAATCCATAAGAGATTAGGTTATATAAATAAGGATTATATTATTAAATCCTTAAATATCCAATCAGATATAGCTAAATCTGATTTAGAGACATATAAATCATATAAATTCGATAAATTCCATCAGAAAATAAGCAAGAAACCCTTGGAAATCCCTGAAATAAACTCTAAATTCGAAAAATTCAGCCTAGATATAACTAAACCCTTTAGAATTATAGGGATTAAAAGTGAAAAATATTTCCTAGTATTTACAAATTAAGCTATTAGAATTATTTAAATATATCCTATTAAATTCAAATCCCAAGCCTATAATATTCTAATAGAATTCTATAATCTAATTAGAAATTAGTTTAATATTAGTATTAAAATACTAAAATTAGATAATACTCTTGAATTCCTTTCAAATAAATGATTAGATTTTATTCGAAATTATAGAATTATATATAAATATATTAGTATATATGCTTATTCTCAGAATAAAATAGTTGAAATATTAAATAGATATATAATTGAAAGACTAATCTATTTATAACTATATCTAATTAAAGTTATTATTTATATCAAGAATAGAATATATAATAGTTCTATTAATAATTCACTATTCGAATTAATATATAATAAAAAGTCTAATCTAAATTATATTAAAATTCTAGACTTTCTTATTTATATTATTAATAATAAAAAGATTCACAATAAAAAATTAGATTTTAAAGCTTGGAAAGGTATATTAGTAAACTTTGATTTATTTAATAATTATTTAATCTATATTCCGACTAATAAGAGAATAATTAGTTTGAGAAATATCAATATTCAAAAAGATTTTATATATTCTAATGAATATAAAAACTAGAATTTAAAGCTATTGGAAGAAGAAAATCTCGAATTTTAATCTATTTAAGATAATATAAAGGATAAAAACATTATTAATACTAATAAATATTAAGCTAATTCCGAAATAAACAAAAACAGTGAAAATAACAAAACAATCAATTGTATAGAGATTGATCTCGGTAAGCTTATTCCCGGTAAACCTATATTTAATAAGGTAATAAAACCTAATATACGGTAATCTAAGTATATAAGAGGTCTAATTCCTGATAATAAAGATCTTACTAATAATGGAAAACACATGATTTTCTATTATAGATTTGTTTTTTTTAGATATTTTAATTTAATCAATAAGGGAATAAATATCGAAATAGATTAACAAGATCTTCAATTAGCTTTCGATATTAGATTTAAAAATAATAAAAAAATTATTATTAATAAACCAGATTGTATATTAATTGAATC